CCCGCGGAGGTTGCCGGGAGGGCACTATGGTAATGAGCGTCCGGGAAGCGCTGCTCGAGTTGGGGCCATTGGCCAAAAATCGCCGTTTCCCGTGCTGGGAGGGAGCGTGAGGAAGGCGGGGGGACAGCCTCTAGGAGCACCAGGGACAAAGTCATCACCCAACACTTTAAAACACGTTTAAAGTCCCGAAGTATAAATCACTGAAACCCGTTTAGACTCACGACGCTGCCAAAAAGAAGTTTGCACTCCTAAGCTCAGGGGCAGGGCGGCACTGCAGACCGAGCGAGCAGGATGCGCTTCTTCCTTGGGATCACAAAATTACAAACTGCTACACGGATACCCGGGCTCAGCTGGTCTTTGAAACAACTGTAAGACACAAAAAATAAATGGATTAAAACTTTCTGCAAGAGCTCTTTGGTGAATGCATTTGAAAAGCAATCCAAATCTTTAGAAAGAGCCCGTTGTCCATAAAACTGCTGGGCATCCAGTGCACCAGGCTGCTATTGCACAGCAGTCTGACCCCCCTCATATTATTTGTTCCTCAGAAAAATTAGTCTCATTTGAAGAAAAATTAAACAAACAAACGCAAACTCGTTATTGTCAGGCAATCTGTACAAATTATCAGGTGATTATTGAGACTGAAACGCACCAAGCAGAGAGGCACGATGGGTTCCTGCCAGGATGCAGAGTCGGCAGCAGACAGGTTGGCACTGCCCTAACTCCCGAGCTAGAAGAGCTGTCTTTCACAGCCCTCAGTGTATTTTTCTTCCATTATTTATTTAGTCATATATAAAGCCTAAAATATGTTCGTATCAATTAAAAGAAAATGCATTTTTTTATAAGCACAAGCATCTACAATGCATTTTATCAAAGCTATCACATGCATTTGTAACAAATAAATTCGGATTTTAACCTTACACGTTTCCTTGAGGGTGCTATGAAGCTCTCACCGTTTCTAATTGTCTCAGGTGTTGGGATGTTGGGAACACCTTTCCCCCCGTTTGACGCATGGGAGATGTAGTCTTTGTGCTTAGGGATGGTTTTTTATCCCCGTGAACTACATTTCCCAGCGTGCTCCCCTTCCGGCGGCCGGGCGCTTCCGGCGGCACCATGAGAGGTGAGTGTTCGCGTTATTCACCGCTGCGGGACAGGGTTCGGTTCGGCCGCCACCCCGCCGCTATCACAGCTCAGGAGACACCTGGGAGTCCATGCAACTCGGGAATCCCTTCGGGTTTCTGGCCTGTAGCCGTTTGTAGGCTCCTGTTTATCTTCCCCCTTAACCTTGCCTGATCTTTTCCTGTCGAGCATCTTGGGTGTGTGCTAAAAGCAAACTCTAGCCTCAGATCTCCGTAGGTACGTTTAAAGAGTTTCACTTGTTATGTAGTTTGTTGTTGTTGTTGTTGTTGTTTTTTAATCTGAGCACTTCTATTTTAAAAGTGACTTTGTATTTGGCAAGAAATATTCCAGCCTTTAACATTTTCTCTTCCATAGTTTTTACATGGTTCACAGCAGCTTTCAAATGTATCTGTAATTTTTGCTTTCACTCTCTTGTGGGCCAACCCCTATTACATTTCTATTTCATTTTGCCTCTGAACATTTCCTTCAGAGAGATGTTTTGATGATAAGGGGCCAGAATGAAGAGTTTTCATCAGCTAAAGCAATTTAATTACCATCAAACTGGCTTAACAGCCTTTGGGGAGCATCATGACACAAGTTATTCTCAAAGCAAATTAGTTTATTGGGAGATTTAGTCCCTTTAATTAATTCATGTGGGAAATTAAACCTCTTTCTCGGGAATGCCCAACACGACTCCTGCTAAACAGCAAAACAAAGCAAAAATCATTGCAAACAGAATCGCTGCTTAGATACAGAAAGCAATTCAGACTATGGAATCTGTCCAATCTTCCCTGCATTTCAACTGCTGGTGACAAAAAGCCTTAAGAACTGAAGACTAACTGAGCCAAATCTACTCTTTGCCACTAGCATCAATTTAGTATCACAATGCTTGGAGCTGAACACCATTCATAAACTTCAGATGTATCTAAACCTCATTTGCCCACCAGTATTAGGTCAGTAAATGGAGTGATATTTAAATATATCTGAAGTTTAGGTGTTCAAGAGATTGTTCCCTTTTATCAGTAAATAAAGTTCTTCCTCCATCTGCCACATCTTGTACAAGCCCTCCTGCTCAGGGAGATTTAAGGAAGCAGAAGTACCAGTCAATTTTCAGGACTGTTGCTTTCTAAGCTTTTTGTACATTGTTTGCAAAACCATAGAGAGACACAGAAAAAATAGTTTTAAAACAGCAAAATGGAGAAAGAACTGCAGACTGCTGGAAAATGCAAACAAATTCAAAGTTCAAACCCATCCACTTGTGTCTCAACAGGTTCTGCACACAATTCCAGGCTACTTAACAGCAAAGCTGTTCAACCTGCCTGTCCTCAGCAGGGCATGTCATTCCTCCCTTAAAGCAGGGTGTCTCCCATTCCTACCTGCCAGGCAGTTCCTTCTGCCCCACACACTTTGGATCATCCCTTCTCTCTCAGAAAGCCCCTGTGTCTACTGGAGAAGCAAAGCAGTGCCCCTCCAGCTCCCCACTGACTCAGGGGAGGTGGCACCCACAAAAGAGGATGTGCCAGAGGCATTTAGGCAGTGCCCTAATCATCTTCAGTCCCATTTCAAGACCTTTTCTGCATGAGGCCTTTGAAAAAAACTCAAAAAAACCAAAACACACCATGCAGGGTAGCTCCAGTCAAGGCCTTTGTCAGGAAAAAAAACAACATTTGAAGGTTGTTTTTCTTTCCCTTCCTACAACAAGTATAAAGGATGGGAAAATATAAAAGACTGATTTGGAGCAAGCAGAATGTTATAAGTGCAAACCAAAGGTATCTTCTGGGGAAGAACCAGTCAGTGCCTCTGGGGTGAGGTGCTTGGCCTTCCTGCCATTTCCTCTCTGGCCTGCTGCACGTACTTGGGAAAGACTTCATGTGCACAGGTTTTTCTGGGCTTTTTACAAGTCCTCTTAGGCAGCCATCCTTCACACCTGTGTAGAACAGCATGAACCCTGCAAGTCTGGGCTGTTAACTTTGTACTCAGTGTTCCTCTCTTCTAAAAGAACATAACTTTTTCTTGGATGGTGGGTTTTAGTTAATGTTGCCAAAATAATTTGTTTCTTTACTAAAAGGAGAGCAAAGAATACTTAACGGCATAATTTTCCAGAGAATTGCAAGCAAATAGCATTAAGGACATGGTTTTCGCTTTCTTTTACCTGCTATGAGTTCTGTTCTTGCCTTTTAGCTGAATATGTTCCCTGCCAGGAAGTGGTCTGGAGCTTTCAGAGCCATCAGACTGCAGCATTTCAGATCCCATTCTGTATCCAGAGCCTCTCCAAACTTGATTTTCGTGCCAGCCTGTCTGCCCCCAGACCCCGTGGAAGTGGAGGAGCTGCAGCGTTTTGTTTCTAACTCCAAGAGGCTGTTTGTAATGACTGGAGCTGGAATCTCCACGGAGTCAGGGATCCCCGATTACCGCTCGGAGGGTGTTGGGCTCTACGCCAGGACAGACAGACGGCCTGTCCAGCACGCTGAGTTCGTCCGCAGCGCCAGTGCCCGGCAGCGCTACTGGGCAAGGAACTTCGTGGGCTGGCCCCAGTTCTCCTCCCACCAGCCAAACAAAGCACACCTGGTACTGAGAGACTGGGAGAAGCTGGGCAAGCTGCACTGGCTGGTGACCCAGAACGTGGATGCCCTTCACAGCAAGGCTGGGAGCCAGCGCATGACGGAGCTGCACGGCTGCACACACAGGTAGAGCTGCTGGCACAGGGCTGCTGTCAGTGGGTGACTGACAGGCAGATGCACTGTCATCTGCTGAGAAAGGAGGCAAAACGTCCATGCTGCATTCCTGGACATGACAGGTGGTATTGGGCTGGAGTGGAGAAAAAGATCAAGAAAAAGATCACAACCCGGTGCTGTTCACAGCATGATATTTAAGAAACATGACCACCACTCCATTTTTTTGGAGCATTAATTGGATCACTTTCCTTGAAACCTGCATCCATTTACCCTGTCCTTGCTACAGCAAATGTCCTCTTAGTAAGGGGAACAAGGGGATCATAAGAATGCAGGGATTATCCACCTTAAGCAGAGTGAATAGTGCCAGAATTGCATGGGATGTGTGGACTTGGAGAAGGGCCATCACCCTGGCTGGCATCACCCAAAATTTCTAGATGAAAAAGCACAGCCTGAACTGAGAGAGGATGCATGGCAGGGTTGAAAGCACTTCCTCTAGAGCATTCCTATAAAGCAAGAGTAGAAAGACATCTCCTTGACCTGTACTATTTGGTAAATAAATGTGGAAAATCATGACAGGCCTCCTAAGGAATCATTTAGTCTCCAGATCTTCAGCTGACATGAAACTGCATTAAGACCTTGCTCTGAATTTCAGGGTTTTTTGCTTGGCCTGTGGAGACCGAATCTTGCGTTCTGAGCTCCAGGAGCACTTTGAAGCTCTGAATCCTACTTGGAAAGCTGAGGCGTTTGGCGTGGCTCCGGATGGGGATGTTTTCCTGACGGATGAGCAGGTGCGCAATTTCCAAGTCCCAGCCTGCCGTAAGTGTGGTGGAATCCTGAAGCCTGATGTGACATTCTTTGGAGACACAGTGAGCCAGGAAAAAGTCAGTTTTGTACACCAGCGCCTGGCAGAATCAGACTCCATGCTGGTAGCAGGATCCTCCATGCAGGTAAGTAGGTCTGTACCCCAAACTGCATTCCTACTTCTCTGCTGCTATGCCTGCAATGATCCTTGGTCCCACAGCTTAGGACTACAAATGGCTTGTGGATCAGATCAGCCTTTGCAGAGCTTCTCTGTATTTTATTTTTACAGTGGTTGGAATCTGGCTTTATGGGTGACCTGTTTGGGTTTCCTTGTCCCTCTCTTGCCAGACTACTTCATGCTGCTGTAAATACCTCCATTGAGACCTCTCTTTGCTGCCTCATCTATTAGGTCACAATTGTCTATAAAGACAAGATACCTGACACAATTCATTCCTCACTTTTTTTTTTACCTGAAATTTTTAGCCTGTGGTAGCTTTTTAGTCTTCATGGCACACTGTGTAAATACCAAGTTTTAGGACCTCTCATTCCTTATTAAAGTCTCAGTAAGAGAGCTGAAATATCTCTGCTGCTTGGGATTGTCCTTTGTATCACAATGTGTTTTCTCCACTAGCCTCTTATCTGTAAGGTAAGGTAGCTAAACAACAGGGGTTTCTAAACCCATAGAAACTTCTGCATGGTGTTTGTATAAGATAAATTCTTCCAGGAACAAGTTCTATTACATTAAAAAAAAAAATCCCAGAAGGAGATAAAACCAAGGCTGCCTGATTGTGATTCTCTTAGCTTCGGGATACTGGATACAATCCTTGAGTTTGCACTTCTTAAGCTTATAATCCTCTGTACAGGAATGATTGAAATGCCTTAGGTTTGTTCTTGTACTACCTAAGCTGGGCCATGCAAGAATCATCAAAGTGCAGCATTTAAGTCCTTGTGATAACTAATAAAAACTGCTATGGAGATTTACTAAAAGACAAGGACATTTCTCTCCAATCTGCTCTGAAGTTTCAGTTTCTGTGAAATTGCAAATCCTTCACTGACAGTGGTTAAAAGCTGTTCTATTCTGTGCACTCCTGAACGAAGACATTTCCTACCTGAGCTCAGTGCAGCTGCCTAATACAGCATGTATGTACAGCCCTTTTCCCATTGCCAGCAGCAACTATTTCATTCCTTTCTGTTACTCTTCTCTTGCCTAAGCTGCCAGTAATTTTGTCTTCTGGTACTCCTGCAGGTGTACTCTGGTTACAGGTTTGCTCTCGCTGCCCGGGAGAGAGTACCTTCCCTGGTTAGTCACCTTACAGGGTAAGAATATGGGTTCCTGGCAAATGCTGAGACTGAGATGTACTGACTGGCAAAATGTTCCCTCACTGCACCAAAAGGTGGCTGCAAATTTTGATCTGTATCTGATCTGCTCTGGTTGGCCATGATATCACTTCCCATGATCATAAACAAAAAGCATACTAAGTGCTAGCACTCCCAGAGAATTGGGTAGGAGTAGCCAGAAGACTCAGTAGTGTAGAATTCCAATCCATTTGTTACTATCAGGAAACTACAGGGGATCACCTGTAGTTCCAGAGAACCTGCTCACAACCATTGCCTTTGCAACTGACAATTCAAAAGCTGTTCCTGATTTAATTGGTCCAGCTAATCCTAATCAAACACTGCTGTTTAAAAAAATCAATTCAGTCAATAAAGCACCTTCTTTCTTCCTCTCCTGCAGGACTCATCTCAGAAGCAGCTGTGAGATGCAGTGCACGGCCGCTGAGGGCACCAGGAGAGGGCAGCAAGCCTCACACATCTCAGCCTCACCAGTTCTCTCCACTGGAACCATCTCCACGTATCAGGAAACAGAATGATGATAAAAAAAGTACTTTTCTGCCTTACCTTGCCGTTGTAAACAGTGCCTTTTCATTCACTGGGACAGGATAATTGGACTGCCACATCTGAGGACAAAACACTGTTCTTAGAGTTGTCCCCAGTGGAGAAGGTGGGGGCACAGGGATTTTGATCAGGTAGTTTGAGGCTATAGCACAGGAGGGCAATGTGGGAAACCAGGACACTGCTGTGGAGTCCATTGTCACTGATGGGATACTGTAGAGTGTGCAAAGAGGAAAAGGAGGCAAGAGGAACTGCAGTTGTCACTTAAAAGAAAAAAGCTTCAAAATAGATTATTTGGAAGCACAGGCTATAAGGCTGACATCTTCCAGCAAGGAGGGAAAGTCAGCATTTCTCTCAAGTGTCAGTTGACAGCAGCAGCTAGACTGCTTCCTATCCAACCCCTTTAAAAATTAACTATTGTTGAGATGCCAGAGGAGTTACTTCAAGCTAATCTGACCAGCCCTACTTTCAGTGAGGCTACTACATTTTCCAGAATGCATTTTTGAAGATGTTATTTAATTAATGAATAGTTAAGGAATCAATTAAAACTGTTTAAAAGATCGAGACTATTTGCATTGAAATTTTCTCTCCCTCCTATGATTGAAGTAGCCAGTTTCAGTTCATGTTTTTCCATTGCAAAAATGCAGGTTGTAATTACTAGCAGCTGATGAATTAAGAGAGAAATACAATTAAATCTGTACAATAGGTCTCCCTCAGGAGGTACTGTCTGTTGAAAGGTGCAATTTCCACACTCCTAACAGTAGATCCAACACTGCTAGGTAGTGGTTTTCTGTTGATCCTGAGGATGGTGGTATTGTAAGCCCTATCAAACCATTTACAGAGTAAAATACAGAACCTGGTACAAACTAGAACATGGAATTTTTGACCTGACCTTCTTCATGAAACTACCACTCCTCCCTTGTAGCTCTGAGGGATTTAATTGTCAGGGTTTTCCAAGTGCCCCCTCCTACTTCAAGTAACATGTCCTGGACTAATATTTTGACAAGAACTGTAACAAACAGTTGGAAACAAGGATGCCAGAGTTATCTGCTAAAAGGTCAAGTAGCAAAGCAAGGACAACTGACAACAGGATGCAAAGTTCATTTTTGCTTTGTTCTCAATTTGAATCCATACCTGAAAGAAGCAAATAAAGCACAGAATCTAAGGGATACATAAGGCATCCAATTTTTGCAGAAAGTGGAGGGCATTAAGATGCTCAACATATTTCAAGATTTGGCTGTATTGGGGTAGAGGAGAGACAGCTTCACTTTGAAGCCAAGCAGGAACAGTTCAGGACTCCCACCTGCATTCTGCTCTCATTGAATGGTGACTCCACTTTCCAATGACTCAGGTGTCTGCTGCTTGGCAGTGAGCAAAGCTCACAGATATCTCTCCATCTTTAGCTGTCCTGTCCACAGTACAGCTGTCCCACCAACCAAAGCTATTGCAGAAATCATGCCTAAAACACAGCAGAGTCTCTACATACACCATGTTTTCATGTAGGGGTTTTCCCTGTAAGAAGAGATGCTGATGCCTCCTTAGCAGAGGGGTTGTGGCTGATTTTCTCACTATCCACATCTTCTCCCCCTCTTTGAAACTCGCGTGACATTGGTGTGTCAAAACCAGAGGCTGCCGGTAGAGCCAGCATTTTGAGAAGGTGGGGCAGCATTGCCAAGCAGTCTAGAACAAGTCTTGGAATAAGTTTTGTGACAGGTAACTAAACCTCCCACATCTACCCCTGCCTACTCTCCACTTCTGCAGCTGAGCCTGTGGGAGAGGAGTCAGGGTATCTCTTCAGCATCACTGTCAGATGAGTCATTACCCCATTACACCAGGACAATGACTTACAATAAATGAACATTACAGTAAAGTTTCTGTGCATGGTTTATTACTATATATTAATGAGCATATCTACAACAACTACATGAAGCTGAGATGAAGAACTTCCTTCTTTTTTCTGCTAAGTTGACCCAGCACTACTAAAATTGGTTACATTTAGAGCAGATCAGACTTCACTTCTCAACATGTTCCCCAAGATACCGTTAAGAAGTTTGCTCACATGAGAAATGCCTGAGAGAGCCTTTTGGTCCCTACACCAAAAGCCACGACATGAAATCAGCTGAATCGACAGCTTTTGCTCTTCTCTTTTTCTTACATCTGTTCCTCCTGAAGCTTGGATAGAGGAGCTGAGAGTACCTCATAATGGATTTTTCTTCTGTTCTTCTGAAAGTGGGGTTGGAGTTAGCCAAAGGAAATAAAAGTTACTTCCTATTTGGCAAATCTTGTCTTTGTTTTTGGGCAAATTCTCAGAGCAAACTGTAATTGAGTCCAGCAGCCTGAGGAAGGTATTTCGCATACTGAGCTCCAGTGAGGGCAGCACAGAATGCAGATGACCCAGAGGGTTTGGTGCCTGTGGTGTAAGTACAGCCTCCCACATCTTACAGTCAGATTGCTCCTACTGACACACCTGCTTGTTCATTACTTCTGGAAAATGACCCAAAACCCTGGGCATGGAGAACTTGGGAGGTTCAGTGGAGTGAAGGTGACTAAATTTGCCATCTAGAGAGTGCTTGTTCCCCTGTGACTGCCTTGATCGTTGCACTTTCCCAGCCTTTGCAGGGAAAAAGCAGAGTGAAGCCAGATGGGCTTTAAAACCACTGTTCCAGACTGTTCCTGCAAGTCTGCCTGCAGCTCCCTGTCATGTCCCTTCTCACTAAGGAATGATACCCCAGTACCACTTTCTGCACTTCTTCCCTTCTGCACTTCTTCCCTTCTGCACCACTAACTAGACAATGGCAGAGAAAAAAAGAAGCTGAGCCTGAAGAGGACAAGCAACAGTGTGAGTGTCTCGAATTGGTCTCCAGGCCCTAAGAGAAACTGACACAGGATCATTACCATCAGCAGAATTGTTTGCTCTCTGCATGTCTCACCTCAGCTGGAGCACTCTTTATCATCTATGCAATGCCCATGTAGTTAAGAGTAATTCAGCTCTCCCTGCAGAGAATGAGAAATCTTGGCATAGAAAGCAACAATAGAGAAAAGTTAAGAGACTGAGACTTCGCTTCTGCAGTGAGCCCGAGGAGCTGCTCTCCCTCCAGCATCCTATGCACCAGCTGTGGTGCTGTGTAGGGTCTCAGAGCTCCCCCTTGCTGAGCACAGGGATATCTTGCATTCCAGGCAATCCCTTTCTGGTTTGGAACAGAAGTACAGGCCAGCATGGCAGAAGATCTTCACACACTCCTTGTACTCCTCTATGCTGGCAGTTCAAGCAGTCAGTAGCCCTGCTCTTACTCTTCCCACAACGTTTCTCAAAGCCCTAATGAGCAGCTTTGCACAACCCCTTCAGCCTCCCCACCTGTGCCTTCATTAGAGCCTGACACTCTGCATTACGTGGGAAGGCTTCCTGTGGATGGGGGATGTTTGGATTTAATGGTAGGTCTTTCACACCATCAAAGTGGCATGGAAATGAGAAGTGTGATCAAGGGACCAAACATAAGTGCAGGCTTATAAAATCTCTATGGAGTAAGAGATGGAATCAATTTGAGTTTCATCTATCTATGGAGTTTACCTATGGAATGCTAGCTCCAAATGCTGAATGCCAGGAGTAGATATACTGCTCATCTCAAATCTAGAGTTCCTATTACAGGTAAAATTCATACTAACAATTTCTGAAATGTTTCCAATGCACCCCAGCAATCTTCCCTACTTGTGATAATACAGCTTGAAAGTGCAGTGTTCCTTCCAGATAGTGATGATATTTTACTTTTTTTTCTCTACAATGAGGTTTACCACAAGGGGATTTTAGTAACATTTACTTAGGAGCTTTACTGTTCTACAAACAGTAATTTCAGAGAATCTAAGCTAGTGAGTGAGTACAAGACACCTCATCTTGCTCTTCCAGCCCTAAGAATGATTCATTTTGGTCATATGACACCATCACATCCAGGATCCTCAAGATTTCTATGGAGAACTCCAAGCAATGTTTCCCTAAAATTCACGTACACAAACACTGAGGAAAAATAAGCACTGAATACTGGTACAAAACTAGGACTCAATCTGCCATAAAATGGAATGTCTGGCTGTGACACAATCCCCCTTTTCAAGGAAAAAAAAAAAAAAGAACTAAATACAATTCACTATCCTTTCTCATTATCATTCTAATGCCCTCAAAGATACATTTACTTCCAGTAGGAAGGCATTGCAAGTACCTTCCAATAACATACCAAGCCAGCTTCTTCCTTCTGCATTTGTTTCTCGTTTCCCAGAGCACTCTCAGATCCTTGGGGTCTGCTCCATCTTTGAGTACAGTTCGTTCTGATGATGAACCCGGGCCCTTCACTTGCCCTGCCAGCAAGCAGGGGGTGGTGTGAGTATACCCACACCTCCAAAAACCTCTGCAAGCCAAAACGGTACAAAGGGTGGGGGACAGCTTTGGCACAGGACCTTGGCAGGGCTGGGAAAGTGGGGCAGATACTGTCCCTCAGAGGAGCTCCCTGCCTTCCAGGCCAAAATTACCTCCTTCCCTGCACGTCCTGCCTGGGAAGTGTCTCCTTCCCTGCAGCTCCTGACTGGGAACAGCACCGGGCAGGGGAAGGGCTCCCCAGGGCAAGCACACAGGAGACCCTCAGGAGAAAGGAGGACCAAACAGGTGAAGACCCTCACGCAGCGATGCCCCGGGGAAGAGGGACAGCTGTGCAGTAGCTAAGGCGTGGGCAGCCCGCGGCGAGGGCGGCTGAGGGAAGGTGTGAAGGGCTCCCTCAGGAGTCCGAGGAGAGTGGGGGCAGCCGTTAGGGTGGGCGAAAGCGATGCCCTGAGGCGTCTCGGGAGGATGAAGGCGGGCGGGAATAGCGCCCTGAGGAGAGCTGAGGAACCTCGGGGAAACCAAGGGAGACAGGGTCGCTCTGAGGAACCTCGGTTGGATGAGGTAGGGCAGGCACGGTCGCCCTGAGGAGCCTCGGGAGGGTGAGGGCGAGAAGCCGCAGCCCCTCCCTCAGGCGCCCCAGCCCGCGAGTACCTGAGGCGCGGGGCGGGGCACGCGAGGCCGCGAGCAGGTGCGCCCCACCCCCACCGCCTCCAAGGGCCAATCAGCGAACGCGCGGGCGCCTCACGCGCCACGCAGGGCCGCGCGCGGAGGGGGCGGGGTCTCCCTCACGCCCCACCCTCCTCCCATTCCCCTCAGCGCGACGCTGACAGCGGCCAGGAGTGCCGATTTAGATTATTTGTTTATTTGGTCCTGTGGCGGCCCTGAGGCACATGAAATCAATTATTTGCAGTATTTGTCCGTGTCCAGATTCTTGTGCTCGGGGTTGTAGGGCGCCTTAGCGAAGCATTTGGCAGCGGCGCGGTCGCAGTTGCAGATGAACATGGCGCACTCCTTGTTCTTGCCTGGAGGAGAGAGAGGAACGGTCAGAGCCCGCAGCTTCTTCGCCAGGCGCTGCAGTCAGTGTCTCCGGCTGGCATTTCTGCTGTCACAGTGTACCCATTTCACTGTTGCCATCGTTCTGGCACTGCACAGGCTTCTGCCCACTAGCCCACTGCCCCCAAAGCTGTGTGCTCCAGCCAAGCCATCTCTCTCCTTGCCTCTTCGTCCCATCCCTGCAGCCCTATTTGCCAGCCTCTCTGCTCTCTACCTCCGTTCCAGAGCCCTGTGAAGGCTTCACTATTCATCAGAGGTGTCCAGCAGAAACTATGTAACAATGCCAAGTTAACATGCTTAATTTAATGGATATTGGCATTAGAAGGCCTCCCAGAAAGTGCTCAATCCCCTGAAGGCTAGACAGGCTTCTCTATATCCTGCCATACTATACATCTTCATAAACTTTAAATTATGGGCTATATAAAGAATATACTGTGAATACTCATTCCAGTGCCTGTGTGAGGTGCCCTCTTTCTACCAACCAAGCCCCCTGGCAAGAACTTGGACTGTGCCCCCTTGTTGCAGAGGTGTGACTGTAACACAGCCCTGCTCCTTCCTAAGAGAGGCTGGAGATCATCTGGAGTGAAGTGGAAATGGACATACTGCTGCATGTGATCTCCCCATCAGAGCAGCTAAAGTGGTACAGCTTAGTGTAGGGGTTGTCCAGGAGGAATTTGCAGGATTCCATTTCCATTGCCTGTGAGTAGCACTTATCATGTACTTGGCAGCACCTGGAAACAAGGAGAAAATGGTTAGAAAATACCAGAATGTGACCTGTAAGACACAATTACACTAGATTTTTGCTTGCTTTGACAAGGCTCTTGACAATAAAAAAATAAAAAAAAAGATACCCAGCAATAAGAGGGCAGACACAAAGGACCTCAAAGGGATATAGTTGTGCCAGCTCATGGTCCAAGAGGTATCTGGGTACATATGTACTTATGGGAGCATCTTCACAGTTGCCTATTGGGCACAGGGAAAGCAAAAGCCAGTGTTTACCCTACACTCCCCCTCAGTGCCTGGTAGCTGACAAGCTCTCAGCCAACACAATCCAAGACTTGGCTGCCAGATTTGTGTGTCTCTAAACTGCCCATGCCATTTTCTAGCATTTTGCAGCCCAGCCCTGTACATGTTGATGGTCAAGCACCTGGCAGAGTGTGCAGAGCTGCCTCCAGGCTGCTGGCCCAGCACTGCTGCTGCAAAAAAAATGCTGGAATGAGCAAACTGTGCTGCCATAGAAGAGCTGCTGTAATTATATTTTATCTTAGTAATAAGGCATCAAGCTATGATAGACACATCCTTTTTCCCCTGAATTCATCTGTGAAAGAAAGCTTCATTCATATCAGCCAGGGAGTTTCGTAAACGTTCACAGGCAGGGCCAGCTGAGATGAAACTGAAGCAGGAAAGCACAAGCAAGGAAAGAGGTTTGTGAAAGCAGAGTCTTACAAACCTGTCGAGCTCATCCACTGGAGTGCCACTGCCCCCCAAGCCACAGTAGCAGCCGTAGTCAGCGAAGTCCAGCAGTGGGTGGCTCTTGGGCAGGGTGCACTTGATCATACTGCGGAACAGCCACATGGCCCTGGGAGAGACCTCGGCGCTGGCTGCGCCCACTGGGGAGAGACACACAGGGTGGTCAGAGTCAAGTTCAGGGTTACCAGTGCAAGGTTAAGAATACCTACACACCTGACAGCAGGAAAAGCAGGGCCAGGAACTTCATTCTTGCAGCTCCTCACAAAGAGACCGGTGCTAAGGGAAATGAGTCTTTATATAATAGGCTCACCTTGACATGGGTATGAGATAAAACAGCCAGTATTTACGTTACTAAATGCAGACTTCTTCCACTGGGGGCTGTGGGCGGCAGGTCGTGGCGTGACCATTTGAAGGCCAATTGAGTTAAATCCATAAAAGCCAGAAAGGCAAATATTTGCTCTCTAGATTTTTGCTATTAAATTCTTGTAGTGCTACTATTAGAAGTCAGCTTGAAAGATATGGATAGGGCTCTCTACTAAAACGTAATAGCAGTGTGGTGGTTAAATTGGAAGTTTCTGGCACACTAATAACCATCTGCCACTAATACTTGCATCCTCTTTTTATGGCATCCCACTTATCATTAATCCTGTATCTCTCCATGGGCTCTCCTGGCATAATTCAGAGAATAAGGTACAGGTTGTCCACTCACATCAAATTACTATTTGGCATGAGCTCAACTGAAAAAAAAATACTTTAAAACCACAGAGGAGAAGGAGATACTACTACGCAAGAAACAGGAGCCAAGTGACCTGGAAAACCTTTGAATGTGGCCTAAACAAGGAGTAGTGTCTGGTTTTATGTGCCTTTAAGCAATCTACCCTGGAAATTAACTGGGCTTAGAAGTTTCAACATACACAGCAGACCTCAGTAACTTAGAGCAGTTTCTCTTTCTCCAACACCAACACAGAACCCAGATAAGAACCTTTGGTTCTCTGTGTCAAGGGATGAGGAGAGTTGGGAACCTTGAAAGAAGTTGAAATAATAGGTAAGAAAAATCTTCCTGGAATCAGTCAGGGGTAAGTAAAAACACTGCACTCAGATCCCTGAAGCTCTGACATTTTCAGGGCTACAAGTTTGGTATTTTTGCACATTCAAGATAGGGTTCCCTAGACATGGTTGTCAAGTCTGCATTGATTTCCAAAGCACCAAACAAACCCTCAGCTTTTAAAAGCAGAGGAGGACGCAAAGGCCACCTTTCTGCAATAGCAGACTGCTCTCACAGGAAACTTTGGTCTCAGCACCCACCAGCAGGTCCCAAAAGGGGTGATGAGGACACTTTCCTCCTCACAGGGTCTCAAACTATACCAGGGTACCCACAGTAACCCACTGGATGTTGGCATATCCATAGGACATCTAGGTAAAGCTAGACATGGTGCTGAACAACCAGATCCATTCTGACTTTTCTGATCTCTTCTAGCACTCCCATTCTGGGGCTGCCCACTCACAGGTAACCTACAGCCAAGCAGATGCTGAGTAGCAGATTTAAGATTCCCTGTGTTCTGAGTATTGAACAAACATTAAAGGCTGATGTAAAGGACAGTCTGTACCACAGCTAGTTCAGAAAAAAATACTTTGTCCTTTGCCCACAGATCAATCTGCTGACTTTCCATTCAATATCCACTTAAGAGTTCTCTGTCCTCTCTGCTTTTATCATAAAAAGAAAATCTTATCTATGAAACTTAGGATTCTGATTCCTTTTTCCTCTTTTCTCAGTACTTTATGTATTATTGATGTTTCCTAGAAAATTTCCAGTCAACTGCCCATTTAAAAATCATAAATCAACAATTTCCTACATTTTTAGTTCAACCAAAGGATCACCAAGTATGGGAAAGCAAACACATGAGTATTACAAGGGTGCCTCATGAGAAAAATCCCAGCAGGGTAAAGATTTTTCCACCAATGTTTAAGCCTTAAATTATTTTTAAGACTTTTATAAGCCCCATTGCAGTTCCCTACTATTCCACACTGTTAAAATTCATCTTTCTCTCTTTTGTCTGTTAAGGACTTTATTTCCGTCTCCACAGTTTACTTCCTTACATCTAGCTTCCTTGGTTCACCACAGTCAATTGAATTCAGAGTATGAGCCAAACCTGTAAGCACCACATTATCTTCCTTTTCTGAACCTACAAATACTTACACAAAACCTCTGTAATGTAGAGAAGTGACACAATCTCTACTAAAGCCAGATCTGCCTCACATTATAAACTGGGCCACTGCCGAAGTGTGGGAGCAGAACAGTGAGCGAGTCAGAGACCTGTCTGGGGCTTTTATCCTTAAGGCAGGATGCAACTCCTGCCAGGTCCTGAAATCTCCCCCACTGGAAAACCTTGCACCCCCAAAATAAAGACAGAGAAGGACAGTTTTCAAATAATTTATTAGGAATTTAAAACTGAAATCTGGAAAAAGGGTTACAGGTGTGGAGAGAACAAACACTGGAGTGTAATAACTTACTGGCTTAAAAACACAGCTTTATTTCTTTTTAAAAAAATGCCCACCCTGAAACCAGAGCCCCAGCCTCCAGGCAGTGGCCAGAGAGTGACTCACAGCCCAGCAGCAGCACAGCTGGCCCGGGATGTCTGGAGGGGGCACGGAAGCAGCTCAGCGCATACACCAAGAGGGAGGAAAGCGCTGTCTGCAGACCCAAATTTGAAGTATATAGAATAAAAATAAACCCAATAAAATGCAGCTCTTCTTTAATTAGGAAATATTTAAAAAAACAGACATACAGACTCTTGTCTCAGTAACAAAAATTATTGCTTTGTGTTTTCAGTACTGATCTGTTAAGTACCTTCTTACCTAAACAGAACTCTCCAAACGCATCGCCCAGGTCAGGACAAGTTCCAGCAGATGGGGGAGAAATAGAAGAGAAAAAGGGCCCTGTGGGCACTGTGGCCCTCCCAGTCCTTTTCTAAATGCCCATCTCCTTTACAGGGGCTCAGTTTGGGGGAAGAGAGGGAATGATTTTTAAAACTTAAGATGAAGCTGTTATTTCCCTGGGAAAAGAGTTTGGCTGCATCTTAATAAAAGGCTTAATCACCCCCCTTAACAAGGTCTTTGGTTCACTGAAATCCAGACCCAAACCTGCCCCGTGTACTCCTGCTGGAGGCCTCCCCTGGCAGAGTGCTGGTTAGCAGGGGCTTGGACCAAACCAGGGGGAGCCCCAGCAGGTTCTGGAGAAGGGACCAGATCACCCCGCACAGGACAACGGACAAATTCCCACAGTCTTCAGAACACAGAGTAAAGCAAATGGGAAGCTGCAATTCTATAATTCATATAATCCCTGAGAAGCCCTTAACCCGCCCCCAAATCACCACCCTAATGCTTTTCTCCCCTGTTAATGAATCCCCATCCCAGAGCCCTGCCCTTCAGAGAATGACTACCCAAATCTCCCCCTGGCTGACACCCCTTCCGATACCCTCGCCTCCGGAGGAGGATCCCCTTTCCCAAGAAATCTTGACGCAAGCGATAAAGTTTGGAGAGTGAATTCCTTTCAAAGTAACCAAGACAAGCAACGGCGGCAAAGCCCTTTCCCTAAGCCAGCCCAGAGCCGGCGCTACGGAGCCCAGGGATGGAGTCTGTACATCAAGCAATTGGAAGCAGCTTTAACCCGCTCAGCAAAACAGCCGATGGCTGGTACATTTCACCCCACCCC